CGCGCCCTGGGGCTGGCCCACGCGGTCCTCGAGGGGCGGAGGCTTCTCAGGTGGAGGTAGAGGCAGCGCGTCGCGGCGGAAGGGGTCGTCGTCGGCCGCCCGGAACCGCGAAGCGTCGTTCAGCGCCAGCACGGCAGCGTCGTGGTTCTTGACGCAATCCTTGACGATGCGATCCAACTCCTTGGGATCCTTAACATGGAATGCAAGGGTCTTCTTCAGGATCGTCCTGGTCGAGAGGAGCATCAAGCCAATGTTCGGGGACATCTTCAAGTTTGCCTTGATCATCCCATTCAGCCCTTCGATCTCCTGAGTGTCCGAAGCCATCATGTGGGCCACCGTGTTGAACAGGTCCCACAGCTTCGGGTTGAGCCTCCCCGTGTTCACGGCATCCTTTCCCGAGAGCTGTGGGAAAGGCAGGGGCGCGACAAGCGGGCGCACTGCTCCAGGCCCCCAGGGCCCATGCCGCGAGCCACGAGGCCCCATTCAAAACAGCGGGTCCAGGGAGTCCCCGAGTCCCCCTTATCGATGCCCCTGCCGACTCCTCCATATCTCGCCTGAAGACCGACGCCACCTTAAACGGCGTGCTCCCGCGAACATCGGGATCCTCGGAGTCGAGAAGAGCAAGCCACTGCGTCGCCAACTCCCTCCTGACCTCGCAATCGAACAAGGGCGGCTCCTTCACCAAGTTCAACATCGTATACGGGAACTCCGACAGCTCCAGGATAAACCTGCGGTAGTAGTTGACAGCCGCTTCCAACGTAAGTTCCACTGACTGCGCTCGCACCTTCGGTTCGTCCACCAGGGGGTGTTCGAAGGTCAGGTCCAACACCAGGGACCACGCTGACGCATAATGATCTTCATCAAGTAACGTGTTGAACTCGCCCATGATCTCCGAAGCTTTAAAGTAGAGCAACTCCTGAATCGTAGACACATGGTCATGGCTGAACAGCTTGTCGCGGTCACTTTTGATGTTCGACCCCTTCTTCTCAAACCAATGGAGCAGATGCATCAAGGGCGCGCCCGCCAGGTGATACGAGGCCATGTACACCCAGTGGTCGATAGAGTTCGCCGCGGCAACCGCGTCCCGCTCCCAGCGCCCCATCTGCGTCTCCCAATCCTCGCCGTCAGGATCAATAGTAATGCCATCGGTCGCACCCGGCACCTTCGGCTTCTTAAAGACCTCATTGTAAACGGCTGCCGTTTCGTGCATGGTCGCGCCGATTAAGAACTGACATGTCTTGTGCACGGCGCCGAATCTCCCCGCGAGGGGTCGCGGGGGGAGGCGACCCGCGACCTTCTTGGCCCGTGCGACGCCGAACAGGGACGCCCAAGATTTGTAGATCGCCGCGGCCTTGGAGGGCGCCCTCCACACATTGCACATCTTGGCGATGTTGGAGTAGTACGCCTTGCTCATCTTGAGAAGGTTCTTGCAAATCAAGTGGATCTGGTGTATCCAACAGTAAACCCAAGCAACCCAAGCGAATTGATCATGCGCGAGCTCGCGCATCACCAGGGATCGCATGCCCTGGCAGTCCGGGCCCTTGTCGGTCCCACCTAGGTACACCGTGATGTGCGTGTACGGGCCGTGGTCACCACCAGTGCACTGATCCAGCGTCGCATCGATGACGTGCTCCTTCACCGTCGGCTGGCGGTCCTGGCGGCAAGGAGGGAGGGCGAGGCGGAGGTGGAGGGCGAGCGAGGAGGACACTGAGGCCACGGAGCAGGAGGGGCACGTAGTTGACAGGGTACGAGGAAAGCGGGCAGAGGAGGGAGGGCAGTGGGCGAGAGAGGAGGGGGCACGAAGGAGAGGCACAGAGCGTCCTCGCTGGAAGAAGTACCACCCTGCGACATCGACTTGGACGCCGCTGCCGCGCGAGAGAACCACGTGGCCACCCCCAGCTGCTCCAGGCGGGATTCCCGCATCGTTTTCGTTGACTCTCCAGATCCTGCAGGCGGGACCCAGGCTAGGTCAGGGTAGTGTAAAGCCCAGGTGTATGAGAGCTGCTCCGAGCCGTCCCGCATGTCGATCACAGGCGTCCGGAACGCGGACCACACCTCGGACGCGAACACCTTGTGGGACCTCCAGTCGCCCGAATGCGACGCGTCCCCCCTGAACGCGTGGACTTCGTAAGAGAGCCGCACACGAAGATCATCCAATGGTCGATGCTCGATAACCTCCTCAGACTGATCAAAAAACCGTAACGATGATCCATATTGCTCAGCATACCACTTCTGGCTCATGACGTAGTTGTTCGAACGGGCCAGGTTCTCGGCATGACGCACCGTCGCGTCGGAGACCGGGATGTCCTGGGGCTCGGGGGGATAGCAGGAGGGCACACTTAAGACCCCCCTCAGAATCGGACGCAACGCAATGCAAATCAACCAATGCGTTAGCCGAGCTACTTGGGTGCCCAGGGTCCTCCCTCGTCCTCACCCCTCCCTCCTCCTTCTCCTCCTGGTCCTTCCTTTCGCTCCTCCACCTCGTCCTTCTCCTTCTACTCTCCTCCTCCTCCTCCTCCTCCTCATCCTATCCCCTCTTCCGCTTCTTCCCCACATATCCCCTCCTCGTCCTCATCCTCCCACGGGGCTTGGGTCGATCGTTTGTTGAAATCCCCTCTAGGCCAGCATATATTTTGTTGACGCTGCAGATGCCATGCCGTAGTTTCGATTGAACCCGAGCTTGTAGGTCCCCTCGCGAGTCAGATGGAAGCGGGTCTGGACGAGCTCGCGCTGCTTGTTTTTTTTTTTTGTGGTTTTGGTGTACTTTTTCGAATGGATCTCACCCCCCTGGCTCTTGATCTTACTCTCGAGCTTTGGCAACACAACCGAGTTTTGGTAATTCAGCTTCTTCCTGACAGAACCGTATTTTTCTTTCAAGTCCACGCTTTTCTTGCTGAGTTCCACAGCCATCTTGTTGATCTGGGGCCTGGTCATGGCCCGCGCCATGGGCAAGTCAAATGTGGGAACGAGGTCAGCAGCTGTAGGGCCCAGCGGTACAAGAGCCGAAGATGGATCGGCTCCTTGCCCACCTTCTCAGAGGGGTCATCGGGCCAATTTGGGATGGAGCGTGAGGGGGATGAGGGAACGAGGGAGGAATAGGGAGGAAGGAGGTGCCACCTTTCGTCGCATATACCAGCGCATCGATGGTCTGCCAAGCCCCAGGCTCCATGTCCAGCCCCATCCGGCCGACGATGTCCTGGAGGGTGTACGGCCCCTCGGAGTGCACGCCTGCTAGGAGGGAAGATGTATCCCCCTCGGTCCCCCCTCCACGCTCTCGGACGGAGGGGAGGAGGTGACGGGAAGTGAAGGAGGGAAGGGGAGGAGGAGGAGGAGGAGGAGGAAGAGGGATAGACACTCTTCCTCCCCCGAACACTCAACCGCCCCCCATCCACACTGCTCCCTCCTCTCCCCCCGCTTCCCCCTTATTCCCATTCCCCTTGCCTTCCCATCCCCCTTACCTTCCCTTCCCTTCCCCCCTTCGGCACCCCCTTCCCGCGAGAGGCCTGTGCAGCCACGGGCAGGGCCGCCAGCGGCCATCACGGCGGCCGCCAGCGCCGCGGGGGCCTCCATGAGCATGTGACCCCCGTCGCGGCCGACGCGGCACGGCCGAGCGTGGATATAAAGGGCCCGCGCGAGCGAGCCCTCCATCCTTGCCGGCCCTGAATTCCCCACGTGCTTAGAGAGGGATCGGCTGCGGCGGCGGCAACGGCGAGAGGCGGAAGAGGAGGGTGGGGGGGAGGAGGAAGTGGGGTAGCCAGGAGGAGAAGGGAAAAAGAGGGAGGGAGTGGGGGCCTAGAAATCGCAACACGTTGGTACTGACATATGCGCAGATACACCACGCCCGATACATGCGATATACACAAAACCACAATAATACATCATACACGGTACTGGCATATGCGCAAATACACAATGCCCGACACATGCGATAACATGCGATATACACAAAACCACAATAATATATCATACACGGTACTGGTATATGCGCTAATACATCATGCATTATACATGCGATATACACAATAGCGAAACATATATTCATCAGGAAATTGACTCGTCGGCAGCCAAAGTGTGCACACTCATATTCAACATAAGGGGTAACCATCGGAATAAAACAATCGCAAATTGAGTGAACGTGGCTATACCGAACACTCTAATTAGGCTGGATGAGGTAATTACACATGGTTTCAACACTCGCAATAAGGGCTACCACGCGAAATTTGGACGTGCGTGTTGGGGCATACGAAGAGCATTCCGCAGAGCCTCAAGCTAGCGAAATCGCTGCGGGGAGGCTGTGGGGGAGCACTCCCCCACAGCTCACTTGGCGAGACTGAGGGGTCAGTTGCGCGATCACCGCTCCTCCTCTTCCTCCTCCTCCTCCTCCCCGTGCGATTCCTTCTCGGAATTATCGAAATCGTCAGAAACTAAAGAAAACCTACAAAAACCAAAAAAAACAACATTATTTCTGGAGAATTTCTGGGACGGCTGGCGGCCAAAATTCGACAGAAATCGTAGTTGTTTTTTGTTTTTTTTTTGTGCCTCCTCCTCCTCCTCCGCCTCCACCTTCTCCCTCTTCTCCTCCCCCTCCACTCCTTCTTCTCCTCCTTCCCCTCTCCCCCTCCTCCGTTATGCCGCCGGCCGTCAGCATGAGGGTAGGTACCGCAATTCCACCGATTGCTATCCAATCTGTCGCAACCGTTGCGTTGCTATGTTTCCAGGCGGAGCGCACGCATAGAGGTCTACGAAAGATGGTGGTTCATACGTGCGCGCACGCATCGCACCGACTGCCATCGGCTACGACTGCGTCGCGCATCATGTGCGCTCGCACGGCGCGGCCGCCTCCTCAGTCAGCCTCGCTGCGGCGTGCCGTCGCCGACTCAGAGGGCGGCCCCCCCTCGTCAAGCACGCGCGCGAGCTCTGCCGACAGACCGTCGTCATCCTCGACGTCGATCGTTTCACCGTGGGCCGAGGCGGCAATGGAAGCGACGATCGCCCTCTGCTCATCGGCATCCACGGGTGACAACGGACCACCGCAGCCCATCATGAGCCGCCCTCTTCACTGGCGGAGGCGAGGACAAGTCCTCGAACGCACCGTGGCTTGCCTTGGCGAGGCTCTTGAAAATCGCGAGCTGCTCGCCCTGGTCCTCCTTGGTGAGCTCGCCGCAACGCCCAACGATGTTGGGCTGCGCGGAGCTGGCGGCGCGCGAGCTGTCTTCTGGCGGTTCGTCCATTCCGCCGCCGAAGCCGAACACGTCCTCCTCCTGGGACAACTCGGCTGGCGGCTGGGAAAACGCCGAAGCGGCCGCGGCGGCTGGCGGAGCGCTGGCCGCGCCTGGAACGAACCCTGAAACGTTGCCGACAGCGGAGACAACGCGCGCAGGGCCATCGCCGAAGATAGGAGCAACATGGACAGTCGCAATAGTGGGCACGTCAAGGCCCGCGACCACATCGCTCATGTACACAATCGACCAAGCCTTCTTTTCGGCGTAGTCTGAGGGGAGCGGGCGGATGGCTGGCGACGTCGTGTCCCGCACTTCGCTGACGAAGAGGTCGGGGCTCCTGGGGTTGGGCCACGGCATGAACTCTGCACCATCCTGCAGGTTGGCGGATGCCACGCGCCAATGCACGCCGAGGTCCGTCACCGCGATGACGTGCGCCCTGGCGAGGATGACGTTGAAGTCATCCTCTGTCCTGACATCTTCCAGAGACGGCGCGATGATACGCTTGAGCAGGTCGAGGCCGTACTTGTTTAGCGTCGCGGCATCCAGCGCCGCCTTCTCCGCGTCGCGGTCGTAGGGGTTCGCGACGGCCTGTCTGCGCGACCCTTGCTCGAAAGCGCAGCCGCCCCACCGAGCCCACAGCAGAGCGTCCTCTTCCTTGGGGTTCAAGAAAGCCTTGAGCACATCAGCGGGTGCCTTCAAGCGGCCAAGCGTTCGCCCGATCACCAACGCCACCGCGACTTCCACTTGGGAGGGCGATGCGGTGGGAAGAACCGCAGTCTCCCTGGAAGCCGCGGGCGGCAATGGCGTGGGCCACGCCAGGCCACCGAACCTTCTGAAGCAGGCCGTCGTCGAAAATGCCAGGGAGGATCTCCGTCGTCGGCTCGCCCTTGAAGAAATCCATATGCTTCACCGTCAGGAAAGCGATCTCATCGGCGGTGCCCTTCTTCTGTATGCTGCACGCCGAATGAACCCAAGCAAGCGTCTTCGAGCCGTTGCTCTTGCCAACTCTGGACTTCCCGACCCACAGCGCCCCGTGCATGTGGAGCGTGCCAATCATCAGGCGGAGGGCGCCATTGAGGAACCAGCCGGAGAAGTCCTTCAGCGTCAAACTCCAGCGCGAGATCGGTTTGGCATTCGTCCTGCCCTTCTGGTAATTGCGCAGCGCAGTCTCCACCTTGGGCGCAGGCCATCCGAATATCTTCGAACCCTCCCTGTTGTTATTGCTGCGGGGGCCGTGTTCACGGATGAACGTGTAACCCTGCGCGTGCCTTACTCCTGAGTTCATTCCAACCGCGGCTACTGACGATCTGATGGACATGTTTCGTCCATCGTGTCGAGCGGCTGCTTGCACTTTCCCCCCAGCTGCGGGTAACGCGAAGAGCGCGGCTGGCGCGTGCAGAACTACCGGCGGACCGCCTTCCCCCCTCCGACGGCGCGGCCGACGCCGCCGCGAGCGCAGCCAACGCCGGCTGGCGCCGCCTGGGCGCTTCCTTGTTGGGCCTTTTTTTTTTTTTTTTCATTTTGTTCTGCGTTTTCTTGCTTCCGTTTTCCGCGCTTTTTTTTTTCGTTTTTTTTCTTTATTTCGTTTCGGCTGCGGGCTTGATCGTGACGTACATTGCTGTGGGGGCGGCTGGATAGGCATACGTACGGTGAGAAGCCCAGGGGGTCCCGATCGCTGGGTCGCCACAGATAGGGCGCCCAACTCGTTTTGAAACACGGGGCGGGGGAATGCCCCGGAGCTGGGGCGGGCAGGAGGGGGATCTGTATCCGAGCGCGCCCACCGTATTTGATGGCCCTCGAGCTTCTCCGGCATGAACTGGAACGCAATCGACCCCGCCCGAAAGTTTTTGCCGTAGTCGATTTTGTGGGCCTCTCCGCGAGCACACTTGAGGATGGTCGCAGAATCGACTCTGTTTTTATCGAAAGAAACAACCTTGAGGATGCGGTATGCCGAACACACGCTGTCCTCTGGCTTCTGGCGAACGATGAAGATCTGCATCGCGTGCGGGACGGCGGGCTCCTGCTTGAGCGACAGCGGCTCCTGCAAGTCCTTGAACCTACCCTGTGCGCACAACTTGTGTACCTTGTCGAAGTCAATCGGGCCCTCGTAGTGGGATGCCATGTCGGCGGAAGCGACCAACTTCGCGGTACTCGAATTCGCGATCGGTAGCAGAGGAAGGTCGAAGATAGAATGGTCACCAGCGAAAGCCAACCTGTCTTTCTTGACGCACTTCGAGGGGTGGTAGTCTAACTTGCTACCGCTGACCATCAACGACGCCTCCTCAAAGGTGAGCTTGCCGTCTCCCTCGGCATCGTACGCAACCTGCCCCAGCGACTGCACCTGAGCAGCAGGGGCGCTCGCCATGATTCGTGGCGAGAGAAAGGCGGGTCGGGCGGTTGCCTTGGATGACGGGCAACAGCGCGCAAGCGTTGATCACAGACGGCTGCGGATGCCAGCTGAGCACCTGGGGGGGGAGCGACGACGACGAAAGACGCGCACTGAAGATGGAAGTAAGAAGCAAGAGAGCGTGGGCACGACGACGATGAGTCAAAGATGTGGCACGGCTGCGGTGGGGACAATCAACGCGACGTCAATCACGCGCACTCGGGAACACATGCGCGCTGTATAAAAACACACCCCTCGACATCGGCACTCCGTAATAAAAGACACACCCCTCGACATCGGCACTCAGTACGCCGCGTCCATGACCTCCCAGATGGCATCCGCGGTGGCCGCCCACAGATCCTTGCCCTTGTTCCAGCGCTCGAACTGGGCCGAGCGAACCGAAGCCGCGAGACGCCTGCTGCCTGGGAGGTCCGTGCGCGTGCCAATGAGGGCTTTGATGGACCTCCAGGCGCGGTCGATGATCTGCGTCCCTGCCTCTACCCCGATCTTGGAGCCGTCGGGCAACTTGTGGGTGACAACCTTCGAGTAGACTGGCTCCAACCAAACCCACTTCCTGCCGATCTTCTTCCGCTTCTTGCAGTGCACGACGTGGTCGCGCACGAGCCCCGACGCGCGCATCTTGTAGCTGCGGGCCCCGTCAGAGTGCAAGATGACCTTCCTTTTCTCTAAGCGGCTTTTTAGGAACGGCTCCCAATCCGTCTTCTTGATGGCGCCTGGGCCTGGCGCGTTGGCCTCGGTGCCGTCTGACTGGGTCTTCCACTGAACGAGGCTATCAGGGCGCCCGCGCTCGACGACGCCCGCCCACTGTTCCCGCGTCTTGGAACGACCGTTGTCGGACAGCTGGGCGCGGAAGACCGACTCATCCGCCTCCGCGTCGAACCAGCGCCGCTGAGCTTCGTCGCCGAAGACAATGTTGGGTTCGTTCTTTTCCACCTAGATCTGCCGCACGGCTGCCGCGGCCGCGCTCATGTCCTCGATCATCTTGTGGCTGGCGCATGTCAGCAAGTGTATCTGGGCGGTGGTCATGCCGAGCGTGAGGCAGAAGAGGACCTTGGCCTTCTTCGACAAACTCGACGATTGGCAACCCCCGCCAGACTTGAAGACGGGGTGGGCGGTGCACGGGTTGACGGTCTTGCCGCGCAGCCTACCGCTGTTGCATCGCCAATGCGGGCCGCGATTGTCATCATGCACCCGCGCGCCGCAGGTTCCGACGCCGCAGTGAGTGCAGGTGCGGCCTTCCCAGTCAAGCAGGACGCCATCCTCGAGGAGCAGGTCTACCATCTGGTCCGCAGTTTTCCCGTGGAAGCTGTCGTAGTTGCGGCACCAGGTTTCGCGCTCCTTGCGGGATGTCACGGTCTTCTTCCCGTGGCGCGCGTACTCGACCTTCTCCGCTTGCTTCCTGCGCTGGCCCATCCTGTCCTTGCCCCTCTTGCGCAAGGGGGGCGCCTGAAAGCACTCGCAGGCCGCTTCTTCGGCGCGGAGGCGGCAGCAGGGCGTTTGATAGCACGCTTTCCCATCGCCAACGGTGGCAGAACGGTGGCCCAGACGGTCGGTTGAGAAAAACGCACTGGGCCAAAATGTGCAGCGGGTGGGACTGGGGCCCTCCTTGTCTGGAGGTTCGTCGGCTTCCTCTGGTCGTGGCGGTGGCGCTGTCGGTAGCCATGGTAGGAGTGGCTGTATTAGCAACAGTAGTAGTGGTGGTAGTAGTACTAGTCGTCGTAGAGCTGTAGCAACAGTAGTAGTGGTGGTAGTAGTACTAGTCGTCGTAGAGCTGTAGCAGCAGTAGTTGCAATAGAAATGGTAGTGGTAGTCGTAGTAGAAGAACAAATTCCTACGACGCCCGTATCAGATAGGGCATCCTAAGATCAGGATGCCCTTTTTGTGCAGCAATGCGCCTGTTCACGTTAGACTGAACATGCTTGTCGGCGGCTCCATCGTCGCCTGATTTTCTGGGTGGGTTGTTCGTCCTGTTGTCTTGATGTCATCATTGTGCCGCTTTTCCTACGACGCCCGTATCAGAGAGGGCATCCTAAAATCAGGATGCCCTTTTTGTTTAGCAATGCGCCTGTTCACGTTAGATTGAACATGCTTGTCGGCGGCTCCATCGTCGCCTGCTTTTCTGGGTGGGTGGTTCGTCCTGTTGTCTTGATGTCATCATTGCACCGCTTTTCCTACGACGCCCGTATCAGAGAGGGCATCCTAAAATCAGGATGCCCTTTTTGTGCAGCAATGCACCTGTTCACGTTAGACTGAACATGCTAGTCGGCGGCTCCATCGTCGCCTGCTTTTCTGGGTGGGTGGTTCGTCCTGTTGTCTTGATGTCATCGGTGCACCGCTTTTCCTACGACGCCCGTATCAGAGAGGGCATCCTAAAATCAGGATGCCCTTTTTGTGCAGCAATGCGCCTGTTCACGTTAGACTGAACATGCTAGTCGGCGGCTCCATCGTCGCCTGCTTTTCTGGGTGGGTGGTTCGTCCTGTTGTCTTGATGTCATCATTGCACCGCTTTTCCTGCGCGGCATCCTGCCTGGCAGAAGCGCGTTCCGCCCTCCATTCCCCCTGGTCCGCCTCCTCCTCCTCCTCCTCCTCCTCCTCGGTCGGCCCCCTGCTTTGCCTCTGGTCGTGCTCCCCGCCGCGCCGTGCCTCTCTTTTCCCGTTAGCGAGCGAAGCGTTCTTTGGCCTCGCGGCGGGCTCCTGCTTTGCCTAGTTGTCCTGAGAAAAGCGAAGGATGGCCCTCAAGTGAGTGACCCTCCAAGTCGCCCAGTCCCTCAGAAGCTTCGTCGCCTTCGGCGGCAGCTCCTGGTCGCACACGCGCGAGAAAGCCTCGAACCAGGACTTCCAGGCCTTGAGGGCCTTCGCGTCTGCAGCTCCCTTCGCCTGTGCGTTCTCCTTGGCCGTGTTGCTCTCGGCCAGCTCCCTCGTCAGTTTCCGCACTCGCTCCTGCGCGGGCGAGGCAGCAAGGCACCCGAACAGACGGGGGGGATTTCGGTGGCGTGGGCTTGCTCGAGTTGCGTTTGCTTCGTGCTTGGTGCTCTTTGCTGGCGTTGCTGTCGTTGCGGTTGCGGTCGTTGCGGTTGCGGTCGTTGCGGTTGCGGTCGTTGCGGTTGCTGCCGTTGCGGTTCCGTCTTTTGCGGTTGCGGGCAGGTGGTGGTGGTGGAATTTCAAAACGTCGTGTCCCGAAGCTGCTCGTTGGACCACGCACGCTTCTCGGCGAGCTCCCAGTTGTCCGCCGCCTCGCCCTGGCACCAATCAACCTGAGCATGAGCAGGCGGGACAATGCGTTTATATGTTTGGAGATGTTTGAAGCGCAAAGAGGAGGATAGATCGCAGCCTGCTCTTCCAGGTCCGCGATCTTCTTCAACAGCGGCCTCTGGAATCGCATCTTGAGCTTGTGCTTCGCCGCTTTGGCCTTGTCTTTTTTGACTCTGGCCTTGTACGCGCGGTTGTTCTCGAGCTTGCGGTCGTACTGTTCCGTGCCGTGTTCGGGGTTGCCCATGGTTTCCCAGCGGGGCGCTGGCTAAGCGAAGCAACGGCCTTGAACACGCGTGTGCTGCACGAAACAAAAAAGAGAAGGAGAACGAGTGAAGAAGGAGGAAGAGGAGGATGAAAAGGAGGGGGAGGAGGACAATGGGGAGGAGGAAGAGGAGGAGGAGGAGGAGGAGGAGGAGGAGGAGGAAGAGGAGGAGGAAGAGGAGGGGGAAGAGGAGAGGGAGAAGGGGGAGGAGGAGGAGGACGAGGAGGAGGAGGAGGGGAGGGGGGAGGGAAGCAGGAGGAGGAGGAGGGGAAGGAAGAGGGGGGGGAGGAGGAGGAGGAGGAGGAAGAGGAGGAGGAGCAGGAGGAGGAGGAGGAGAGAGAGGAACATCAGGAACATGAGGAGGACGCAGAAATTGGATGCAGAGGTTGAAGAATCGAAATGGGTTGTAATCCATTGAGCTGCATCCGTTTGGATTGCAATCAAATGGGTTTCGACTGCCAGCGCATCAACACATCATGAAGAAGAGCATGATGAGGGAAAGGCGAAGAACACTGGAGAGATGAAAGGAGAATGTGTATGATCATGTGGGGGGGGGGGCGAGCACACATATATATATGTATATATATGTGTATATGTATATATATATGTATATATATGTATAAATATACATATATATGTGTGTATACATGTTATATATATAGAGAGAGGGGGAGAGAAAGAGAGAGAGAGAGAGGCAGAGAAAATAAATGAGAGAGAGGGGGGGGCAGATTAGCCGCAGTACCGAAGACGACTCATCCGTCTACGCTGCAGCGTCGTTTCCAATCTTTGCTGCTCGCACGCTAGCTCGCACGCTAGATGCGGGATTCGTGCCCGATTTTGCAGTTGCTAGGCCTCTTGCAATTCCTTTGGCCGGCCTCCTGAGTGCGCGGCCCCTTTGCAGCCGCAGCTTTCCCTTTACAGGTCCCCCCCTGGTTCTCACGTTAGCAAGGAGGGTGCGCAAAGGCATGTGCACGACTGACGCGTGTCTTCTTGGCTTGTCGCAGATATGTGTTATGGTCTGCGACGAAGACGCGGTGTAGAGAGTGTTCATGGGGCCGAAAACTTTGATTGCATTGCAAAACTGTCCGGTGCACGATGCTGGGTACATTCGGGTGATCACGAGAGCGCGCATGGAGTTCACGCTGAATCGTAACGCCTCTTCATGCTGGCCGCAGTGGAATTCCGTCCGAGCGCCACCATGTCCGGGACGGCACATCCGGCATCTGAAGTGCAGCGCACCGATTTCGGCCAGCTGGAGTGGCCAGACGCCCTGGCTTCCTCGGCTCTGGCCCCCCACGCTGCCGATGGCGAACATGCATTCCCAGGCGCGCGTGTGCACATACGTACATCAGAGCGTGAATTACCTACCCCGCTTTCGCTTCCAGGAAAAAACCAAGTCATACCACGCACCTCCTCGTCAAGCGGCCTGACCAGTACAGGCCGTAGTTTGGCATCGCCTGGCATCTCTTGGAAGCGAGGGTGGCCCAAAGCGAGGCAGGCTTGTTTTCCCCCTGGCACGGATCGGTGGCAGATGCAGACGCCAGAGATCCGGGAACGGGGCTCCGTCCTCACCCTCGTCCTGCATTGCACGTGCCCGTGTCCGCCGCGTACGGTCGAATCGCACGGCTTCAAGGCCGCACCCCCCGCGTCGCTCGGGGGTGGGGTGCGCCCGTACTGCGGCTCGGCTTTTTTGTCGTGTATATGGCTGGCCACCTGGTTCGCAGAAGAGGAGCGGCAAGGCTTACCCATCGGTCGATGGAGGTGGGTATTCTTGCCCCCCCCCAGATTCCAAACACATGTTCGCTGCCCTCTTGCTTCAATCGTCGAGTGCATTCCCTTTTTGCATCCTCTCTGAGGGGCGGGCAGACTCCCAGTCTACTTTCATTGCCTTCCTACTTCCTGTTTCTGCCCACTTCCTCCGACCAGTGGGTAAAACACATTTACTCTCGGAGCTCCGCGCGGATTTCTGGGATCGGCGCTCGGGCCCGCGTGGCGGCGCCTGGTGCCGCCCCCGGCGCGCTCCGCGCGCCAGGAGAGAGGGGGGGACCCAGCGCCGATCCGAGGAGTGTCAAGCAGTGGCGAAGCGTCTTTGCTCGCCGATAGGCCCACCAAAGAATGTTTTAAGAGCCCATTGTGGTCTGCACGAGATGCTCTTGGAACATTCCTGGCTGAGACTGTCTTGGTTTAGCACATCGGACTTGTGTTCTAAGAGCAGTGTTTTATGTCCTTAGACTATGTTTTGGGGGGTTCTAAGACAATGTCGCGGTAGGCCTATAGGAATGCCGAGACGGTCGGCCCCTGGTCAGGAATTGTGGAGGTCGGAAAGGGGTGTGGCACAAAGGGGTGTGGTGCCAATCGTGGAAATGGCGATATGATCTACGACTGATAACCTCGCCAGATCCAGCATGGGCACCACATCAGAGCCCCGAAGCATCAGGGGTAACTCGGGTCAGAGCTAACTCGGGTTCGTTTGTCGGGAATCCAAACCCGTCTTACCCCAGGCCCGAGTTGCCCCAGATGATTCGGGCGTCCATAGCCCCAAATCATCAGTGGTAACTCGGTCAGGGCCATCTCGGGTTTCTTTATTTCGGGAATTCAAGCCCGAGTTACCTCGGGCCCGAGTTCCCCCAGATAACTTGGGCGTCCAGAGCCCCAAATCATCAGGGGCAACTCGGGTCAGGGCTTACTCGGGTTCGTCTTTTGGGGAATCCGAGCCAGAGTTGCCCCGGGCCCGAGCTACCCCCGATAATTCCGGCGCTCAACCACACCCCTTTGCTCTCCGTCCCCTGCAGGAGGATGAGGAGGAGGAGGAGGAGGAGGAGGAGGAGGAGGATCAAGAGGGGAGGAGGAAGAGGAGGAGGAGGAGGAGGGGATCAGAAGGAGGAGGATGGTAGGATCAGGAGGAGGAGGAGGAGGAGCTAGGAGAGGAGGAGGAGGAGGAGGGGAGGGATGGGGGAGGAGGGAGGATGAGGAGGAGAGAGGAGGAGGATGAGGAGGAGGTGGAGGAGGAGGAGGTCAGAAGGACGAGGAGGGAGAGGAGGAGGGAGGAGGAGGAGGAAGGGAGGAGGAGTGAGGATGGGAGGGGGAGGTAGGAAGGAGGGCGGCAGGAGGATGAGAGGAGAGGAGGAGGGAGGAGTGAGGAGTAGGAGGGGGGGAGGAAGGGAGGAGGAGAAGGGAGGAGGAGGAGGAGGGAGGAGAGGAGGAGGGAGGAAGGATCGGAGAGGAAGGAGGGAGGAAGGAGGGAGAGGAGGAGGAGGAGGAGGAGGAGTAGGGAGGAGGAGGAGGAGGAGAAGGTAGAGACACCCCCCCCCTTTGATACCCCCAGCGGAAGCCGAGCGGAGCTCCGAGCGTTGATGTCTGGTGCCGCTTTCTCGCTCCTCGCCCCTGCTGGAGACCCCGTCCGGCAGCTCAGCAGGCCGACCGCCTGGCGCTGCTTGGCGCGTTCCAGGAGAAAACTGCGCCGCTCGTCGAGGGGGGGAGAGACTCCTCCTCTTCCTCCTCCTCCTTTTCATCCTCCTCCTCCTCCTCCTCCTCCTCCCATCTCCTCTCTTGCTCCCCTCTCCTCCTTCCTTCCCCTCCTCCTCTCTCTCGTTCACTCCTTTCTCCTCCTCGTCGTCCTCTCGTCGCTCCTCCTCCTCCTCCTCCTCCACCCCCCCTCTCCTCCTCCTCTTGGTCCTCCTCCTGCTCCTCCTCGCCTCCTCCTCCTCCCCTCCTCCATCCTCCTCATCGTCCTCCTCTTCGTCCTCCTCCTCGCCTCCCTTTAGTTCCTCCTCCTCCTCACATCGTCCTCCTCTACGTCCCCTCCTTCCTCCTTTCTCCTCTCTTGCTTCTCCTCCTGTCCTTCTTTCGTCTCCTCTCCCGCCTCTCACTCCTCCTCCTCGTCCTCTCTTCGTCCTCCTCTCTTCTCCTCCTCCCTCTTGCTCTCCTCTTGCACCTCCTCCTCCTCCGCGTCCTTCGTCCTCCTCTCGTCCTCCACTCCTCCTCCTCGTCCTCCTCTGTTCGTCCCATCCTCCTCGTCCTCTCTTCGTCCTCACTCTCGTCTCTCCTCTCTTATTCTCCTTCTCCTCCGCATTGTTTCTCCTCCTCCCCTCCTCCTCCTCCTCCTCCCTCCTCCTCACCTCCTCCTCCTCCTCCTCGTTCTCCTCCTCCTCCTCCTCCTCCTCTTCCTCCTCCTCCTCCTCCTCCTCGGGCCCGGCGTCCAATGTCTCGAGACAAGGCAGAGCTCAAGAGTCGACGAAGAAATAACGACATGAGCATAAACATTTGGCGCTCCGCACGGGTATCTTGGATCCGCGCCGGGGCCCCCTCGGCGGCGCTCCTGGCGCCGCTCCTGGCGTGCTCCGCGCGCCGGGGAGGGGGGGGACAGCGCAGATCCCCTAACTCCGCGCGGGGATCCAGACGTTGCCGTCTATGGCACCGCTGGCGCCTCTCACGAGGGCATCTCGGAGCTCTCGGTCTCGCCGGGGGCCGCCTCGCCGAGAGTCCCCGGGGTCTTCGGTCTCCCGGGGACGGGCGTCGGGGCCGTCCACGGGCGGCTCGGGAGCCGGGCTGCCAAGAGCCGGCCCCCGGGCGAGGGGGTCGGGGCTTCGGGCACTGTCGGGCCGCCCAGATGGTGCGGTCCGGAAGGGGCCTCGTCTTCGCAGGGGCTCCCACGAGGGCGCGGAGTGATTCGCGCTGCGCGCTGCGCGGTCCTCGTTCCCTCTCCCCCTCCTCCTCGTCCTCCTTTGCTTCCCTTGGGGGGGGGGGGGGGGCGGCGCGAGAGCGCGAAGCTATTCGCGCTTCGCGGAGCGCGAAGCGCGAAAGTAATTAGGAGCCCTCGTCTCCGAGGCTTGGGTCCAGAGGCCGCCTGCCCAGCAGCGGCCGCTGTCGGTGTGGGACAGCATTTGTTGGTCGGCATCGTGCCCATGTTTTCTGTGCCCATTTCGGGCGTCCAAGCCCGCGCGCCGGGTGGAGGAGGAGGAGGAGGAGGAGGAGGAGGAGGAGCAGTGTAAACCCAAGATGCATTAACGATGATATACCAAACCCTCCCTCCGACTTCCCTCCTCATAGGTCCCTACCAGATCGTATCTTCCTTGTGGGAAGTGGCCCGCTGGAAAAAAACCGTCTTAGAGTCTCCCATCGTGCCGAAACACCACCCCTGGGACTCCGACGTTGCGAATCAACGTGAATGTTGCGTTTCGGCAGTAGCCCCGAACCGTGCCAGAACATTCTTCGTGGGACTTCAACACCGCGAGTCAACGTGACTCTTGCGCCCTGACAATTTTTGATCGTGCCAGCACGCTATTCCTGGACTTCCAGCAATGCAGACCTTGAGACTGTTGCGGGCTTTTCATAGGAATGCGCGCGACGCTGAGCCCAAAGCCCCATTTGGAAGACCACCTGCCCTTTATCCTGGAAGATGTTGCACACTTGAAGACGAATGCGCGCCGCGCTGAAGGCGAGATCCACATGTTGACAAGCACCCGCAGCCCATCCTCGAGATTGCTGCAAGCCTTACTGGAATAGCCTTCGGCCCCTCCCGCCGATGGTCCTGGGTTGTGGGTATGGAGCGTATTGGATGTTCCTTGGGATCTCGTGGGAGGCCTCTCGGGGGCCTCTTGGAGTCAGCCTGGATGCCGTTCGGGGGGCCGTTTCTGGACCTCTTGGGGGCTCTTTTTGCTCCTCTTGAGAGCCTCTTGGGCCCTCTTGGGGTCTCCTGGGGCCTCCTGGGGGCCTCTTTCGGTTTGTGTTCCCTCTCTCGGGCCCCTTTTGGGGCCGTCTTGGGGCTCTTTTGGTCCCTTTTGGGCGCCTCTTGGGCCGTCTTGGGACCCCCTTGGGCCGTTTTGGGGCCTTTTTGGAAGCCTCTTGAGCCGCCTCGGGGAGGTCTTGGTGGCCTCTGGGGCCGTCTGGGAGCGCCAGGAAGCCGAAACGGCGAGAACGCCAGAATCCAAGAACCTCGGTGGGGAATCAGTGATTCGACCCTCTTAGGGTTAAGTCGGGCGTGTCCCTCCACAGAGGGAATATTCAAACACAGTCGAAAATTGTCGGGGGGATTATTTTTTTAGTATTTTTTGATCATTTTGGAATCTTTTCTTAGGTTTTGTTTAAACTGTTCGTCGAGAATCCCCCTGTAGGGGGACACGCCCGACGTAATCTTAGGGCCCTTGGTGGGGCCGCTGGGCCGGAGCCGGGGGGGCACGCGCCGAGGCAGGGGAGGTCTCAGAGCGAGGGGTCCTGGTGCCTTGGGAGAATCTTCCGTCGGGAGCGGCAGAGAGGGGGGTGATGACTCTCCTCCTCCTGCTCCCCCTCCTCCTCCTCCATCTCCCTCCTCCTCCTCCTCTCCTCCTCCCCCTCCTCCTCCCTCCCCCCTCCTCCTCCTCCTCCTCCTCCACCTCCTCCTCCTCCTTCCCCTCCTCCTCCTCCTCCTCCTTCTCCTCCTCCTCCTCCTCCTCCTCCTCCTCCGCTCGACGTTCCCCCCCCCACCCCCGGAGCTGGTCCACCCCTAGCCCTGAGATCCAGAGTCGGGGGCGGCAAAGAGGGGGGCGATGACTAGGGGGGGTGGCTATCATGGCGGGGGCCACGTTGCCTCACCATCGAGGCAGTCCCGTGGCGCTGACCACGTTGGCTTGCAGTTGATGTCAATCCATCTTGCTGCTGCCGCTGCTCCTTCGCGGGCCGCAGGAGAGCAGGGGAAGCGGAAACGTAGGGGGTGGTGAGGGCGGAGTGAAGAAAGATGAGGTTTAGGAGGGGGAGCAGGATGATGTCGATGGCGGCAAAGAGGGGGGTGATGGCTGGGGGGGGGGATATCATGGCGGGGGCCATGCTATTTCTTCAGATTTCATGGCGCCTCTTCTCATTCCATCACGTCCCTGGCCCCCCCGCTGGGCCGAGCACGTGCCGCCGGTCATGATTTGCACCCCACCCTCTTGGACACCCCCCTCTTGGCCGCTCCCGATTCAGCCCTAGGACCCAGGGGAGGAAAAGGTACCCATATCTCTACCCTTCACCTGTTTTCCCTTTTTTCCCTCTCCTGGGAGGTTCTCGTCGCCACCATTGGATTCGCCTCGAAATTCTGGTCAGAACGCACCCCGCGAGAGGTCCGGGGAGGGGCGGTATCGGTACCCTTCTTGCCTCCCCAGGGACCTGAGGACACGCCCACTTCCTGCCCAGCGGCACGATGGCGGATACGGATGCGCGCGACGGCGAGGCGAGGTCCACATTTGGAACACTGGCCGCCCTTCTCCTCCTCCTCGTCCCCCTCCTCCCCCTCCTCCTCCCCCATCTCCTCCTCCACCTCCTCCTCCTCCTCCTCCTCCTCCTCCTCGTCGCCCCCTCCTCCTCCTCCTCCTCCTACCTCCTCCTCCTCCCCCTCCTCCTTCTCCTCCTCCTCCTCCTCCTCCTCCTCCTCCTCCTCCTCCTCCTCCTCCTCCTCCTCCTCCTCCTCCCCCTCCTCCATCCATCCGTGAATGCGTGGCCGGCGTTTCAAACGAGTGTGTCCAGCGCTTCGGCGAGGGCCACCTTTTGAAAGCGACCCGGCCTGCGTCCTTGAAAAGGTTGCAGACTTCAAGCTTCAGATTCATAGGTGGTGGCGAAGTATCAGGCGAAACGCCCAGCCCGCCATACTGACACGCCTCGGGATTGACAGGGAGGAGTCATTTATAAGGGGTAGAAGAGGATGATGATGATGCTGATGATGATGATGATGATGAGGAGGAGGAGGAGGAGGAGGAGGAGGAGGAGGTGGAGGAATAATAAGATGATGATGATGAGGAGGAGGAGGAGGAGGAGAGAGGAGGAGGAGGAGCAGGAGGAGGAACAAGTAGGAGGAGGGGGAGGAGGAGGAGGAGGAGGAGGAGGAGGAGGAGGAGGAGGAGGAGGAGGAGGAGGAGGAGGAGGAGGAGGAGGGAGAGGAAGGAGGAGAGGAGGAGGAGGAGGAGGAGGAGAGGAGGGGGGAGGGAGGAAGGAGGAGGAGGAGGAGGAGGGGGAGGAGGAGGGGAGGAGAGGAGGAGGAGGAGGATGAGGAGCAGGAGGCGCAGGAGGAGGAGGAGGAGGAGGAGGGAACAAGTAGAAGGAGGAGGAGGAGGAGGAGGAGGAGGAGAGGAGGAGGAGGAGAAGAGGAGAGGAGGGGAGGAGGAGAGGAGGAGGAGGAGAGGTGCACCGTGGACCGCGAGGAGGAGGGAGGAAGAGGAGGAAGAAGAGGAGGAGGAGGAGGAGGAGGAGGAGGAGCAGGAGGAAGAGGAGGAGGAGGATGAGGAGCAGAGGAGCAGCAGGAGGAGGAGGAGGAGGAGGAGCATGAGCAGGAGAGTGGAAGAGCAGGAGGGGCAGGCAGGGCCCGCAGGCGCAGGATGCGGGGGCGCCCCCGGCCCTGCGGCCCCCGCGCCTCGCCGCCAGCCGCGGCCGGCAGGCGCCGAGGGTGCTGCGGCCCGGGCGGCGCGCCCCCGCCGTCGCATGGCGCCAGAGGTTCCGCCAGGCCCCCCAATGGCAAGGGCCGACCGCAGCGCTGCGTCGCTTGTGTGGCCTGTGTATCGTGTGCCTGTGTGTGTGTGTGTGCTGTGTGTGTGTGTGTGTGTGTGTGTGTGTGTGTGTGTGTGTGTGTGTGTGGTTGTGTGTGTGTGTGCGTGTGCGTGTGCGTGTGTGTTGTGGCTGCGTGGGTGTGTGTGTGTGTGTGTGTGTGTGTGCGTGCGTGCGTGCGTGCGTGCGTGCGTGCGTGTGTGTGTGTGTGTGTGTGTGCGTGTGTGTGTGTGTGTGTGGTGGGGGGGGTGCGCGCGCGCGGGTGTGTGTGTGTATGTGTGCGTGCGTGTGTCTGTGTCTGTGTGTGCGTGTGTTCCGTTCCGTTTTTCGTGTTTACTTCGTTTCGAGGTCAATTTTTGTTTGAAGCAGCGCGCCATTTCGTTTTAAACATTGATGTGGCCAGTCCTTGCCCAAATGTCATGGCGCCCAGCACTTCTCAGCCGAAAGCGGTGGCCGAGAACGTGCCCAAAGTTCCCAAGTTTGGGTCGGCAACGTAGGGTGGCCGAACTTGTGACCGAGATCGGATATCGCTCTCGCTTCGAACAATAATGTTTGGTCACCCTGACGAGCTCGGAAACTTCTGTCGCCAGTTTGGGCCACACTGGGGAAGACTTTCGGGCACAGTTTCGGTCTCCACACCCTTCTGCTAGAGACGAGGCTGCGTGACGAACGGGGTTTAGCCAGATAGCAGGGGAGGAAGAGATGCCGATACTGCTACCCTTTAGTCGGGCCTGTCCCTCTACAGGGGGATTATCAAACAAATAGTAGACAAATCGTAGGGACACGATTTTATGACCATTTGGGGGGCATTTGGGGGGTATTGTTGGGGTATTCTTATTTTTCGTCCAAAATTCGCCTGTAGGGGGACAGGCCCGCCCTAAGGCTGCCCTTGCCTTGTTTTCTGGAGGCCCTCCGTCGCAGTGGCTGGACTCGCCCCCAAGTTCTGGTCGGAACAGATCTCGGGGAGAGGTCCAGGAGTGGCGGTATCGATACCTTCTGGCTTCCCCACGATACACATGGCTCATTTCTAATTTTTCGAAGGTTCTCTGATTTTTGTTGGGGTCCAAGGTCATTTTATTTCTAATTGTTCTATCCTGGGCCTCTTCCTGGCCACTAGGGGGCCAGGACCGATCCGAGCACACTTAGAAACGCGCAAGATTAGAAACGAACGCAATTCGATACTTTCTGGCTTCCCCACGATAGCAAGCAGTGGCGAAACGTCCTGGCTCGCCCACAGGCCTACCAAATAATGGTCTAAGAACCTTTTGTGGTGTCCACGAAGTGTTCACAGAACATTTCTGGCCGGGACTTTCTTGCTTTAACGCATCGGGCTCATGTTCTAAGAAACTTGTTTTTGTTCTTAGAACTTGTTGGGGTTCTAAGAAGATTTCGTGGTAGGCACACATGAATGCCCGGACGGTCGGTCCCTGCTCAAACGATAGGGATGGAGGATTGGGCCGCATCGTGGTGTATCGGCGATGCGGCATATGTGGTGGAGCCTAATTCTCTTCAAGCCGACGGTGCCGATGCACCGCCGACGTCGCCGACGCATCGCCGACGTATCGGCGATGCGGCGCGATCCTCCGGCCCCATCTGCCTCTGGACGCCCGAAATGGGTACGGAAAGAATGGGTACAATGCCCAACAGCAATTCCTGTTCATTTTGAACAGGATCCGCTGTCCGCGCCGCCGCGGCCTGTGTCCATTCGAGACAGAAGGCCGCCTGCCCAACAGCGGCCGCTGTTGGTTTGGGACAACATTTGTTCTTGGGCATTGTACCCATTCTTTCCGTACCCATGTCGGGCATCCAAGTCTGCTCTGGCCCCACTTGGGAGGCCTCCAGGTTCCGCCCGAGCTCTTCGCGGAAAACAGCAAGGCGGGGGGGGCCCGCCGCCGGGCCCATTCCTCGATACATGGGCGCCTCCCGGCGCCGGGAGGCGCTGGAAAAATCAGCTACGTGAGCTGATTCTCTGCCCTGCCCTCCCCCCTTTCGCCCGGCCCGATCCAGGTTCCGCCCGAGCTCTTCGCGGAAAACAGCAAGGCGGGGGGGGTGCGCCAGACGTCGGGCGGTGCACTGCTAGCGCTCTTTTCCTCGAGCTCGGCTTTTCTGCGGGGCGCCCCTGCCGTCGGGCCCCAGGGCCATGACACACACACACACACACACATTAACACACATTAACACACATTCACACACACACACCTACACACACCTACACACACCTACACACACCTACACACACCTACTCACACACCAATTCACACACCTACACACACCTACACACCTACACACACCTACACACACCTACCCCCCCTAAAAACACACCTAGACACACACACAGACACACCTACACACACCTACACACACCTACACACACACCTACACACACACACCTACACACCTACACACACCTACACACACACACACCTACACACACCTACACACACACCTACACGCACACCTACACACACCTACACACACCTACACACACCTACACACACACACCTACACACACCTACACACGCGGCCCCGCGGCCCCACGGAGGAAGAGGAGGAGGAGGAGGAGGAGGAGGAGGAGGAGGAGGAGGAGAAGGAGAAGGAGGAGGAGGAGGAGGCGGAGCATTCCTGGGGAAGGGTCTGGACCTCGTGCGGCCGCACGTGAAAACGAGTCGCATCGCCGGATGTCTGGCGGGGGGGGGGGCAGTTCAGAGGAGCAAGGCGTCGAGGTCATGACTCCTGGCGCTTCGCAGGGTCTCCAGGCGTTCCTGCCGTCCTGCGCGGGCCCCAGAGGCGAGGGCCGCAAGGTGTTTCAGAATTCCTGCATCGCACCCAGATCCGCACGAAGCATCGCATCAGTCTGAAGTCGGGCACGTCCCTCTAGGGAATATTCAAAAATAGTCCAACGATAGTCTGGGGACGATTTCTTGATTCATTTTTTACTGATGGAATATGCTTTGACTATGTTTCGGCTTTTGCCCAACGTCCGCCTGCAGGAGGACATGCACGACCTAACATCAGTCTCGGCCTTCCACTGCTTGGGCGGAAGATCTGTGCAGGCGCAATCCAGCAGCGAGGAGCAGCGGCAGGTCTCGGCGCCGACCCAAGAGGTCCGGGCGGATCTCCGACAGTTTGTGGTTTATGTAGTTCTTTGCTCCTCCATCCGAGGAGATGCTTGGTACTGGCTCCCCCCTCCTTGTCTTCCTGCTGCTGCCAGTCTTCACTGCGAAGGCGATACAGCCAGTGCCGCCGGCCCTGAAAGGGGGACGCCGCCGCCGCCGACGACGACGTTATTCCTGCTGCTGCAGTGGAGGCTCATGCCAAGAAACACCCTGCTTGCCTCCAGGGTGCCCTGGGTTTCTTGGGCTTCGATGGCTTCTCTACGGACAGTGTGACGTTCCCACGTCAGACATCCACGGCTGTCTTGGGGTCCCAGGGTTAGGTTTCTCGTGGCAGGTTTCTTGTGGACAGGAGGAGGAAGAGGAGGAGGAGGAGGAGGATGAGGAAGAGGAGGGGGGACGAGGCGGAGGAGGAGGAGGAGGAGCAGGAGGAGGAGGAGGAGGAGGAGGAGGAGGAGGAGGAGCAGGAGGAGTAGGAGCAGGAGGAGGAGGAGGAGGACGAGGAGCAGGAGGAGAGGGAGGAGGTGGTGGTGGTGGAGGAGGAGGAGGAGGAGGACGAGGAGGAGGAGGAGGAGGAGGAGCAGGAGGAAACGGAGGAGGAGGAGGAGTAGGAGGAGGAGGAGGACGAGGAGGAGGAGGAGGAGGAGGAGGAGAAGGCCACCCTTTACTCCGCACGTCTCCGCTGCGGGGTCCAGCTCGCAGGGGGTCCGACCCGAAGGAGAGGCTGGTCTATGGACGGTCCGAGGCCCGGCCATGGGCCCTGGTCGCCAGCTCCTTGCCCATGCCGGCTGGAGGTTTCTGGAGCAAGCTGGTTTCTGTATTGTTGAACCAATCCCCATCCCCATCCCCATCCCCATCACCTTCGAGATCCCCACCAGATACCCCCCAGTTGGGGATACACCCCTCGAAGCCCGAAGGGATCGGCCTGTATATCCCCATCTCGGGGGGGGTGATCGGCCAGATGGGCCCAGGCCACGCCGCTGGGGATGGGAATGGGTTCAACGATACTCATGTTTTGGGCCGTCGTGGTAGTTCCAGGGACGGTCCTATACGAGCAGCCGCAGAGGCTTCTGCCGCAGGAGCCCCGAGAGACTCCCGTCCTCACGGTGGAGGCCCATGCCAAGCACCACCCTGCTCGCCTCCGGGGTGCCCTGGGCTCCCTGAGCCTCGCTGCTCTTGCCATGGCGAGCGTGACGCTTCCGCGCCAAGAACCTATGGACGTCCTGGGGCCTCAGGGCTGAGCTTCTTGTGGAAGGCTGCTCGTGGACGAGGAGGAGGAGGAGGAGGAGGAGGAGGAGGAGGAGGAGCAGGAGGAGGAGGAGGAGGAGGAGGAGGAGGAGGAGCAGGAGCAGGAGCAGGAGCAGGAGCAGGAGCAGGAGCAGGAGCAGGATGTTGGGTTCCTTGTGGGAGGCTTCTCGTGGACTGGCCTCCGCCGCGGCACCTCCGGCCCGTGGGCCGCCAGCGCTCTGCCGCCGGGCCGGGGGGAGGGCAGAGTCTCTGCCGGCCGCTCCTGGCCGCCGTCGCGCGGCGGGGGTGGTCGCCAGGCGAGCAGGCGGGGGGCCCGACTGCGGCAGCTCGGTGCACCAGCGGGTCGAACTCAGGAGGGAAGAAAAGCACGCAGACACGATTCACCGTGGATCCCCGAGAACATGTGGGAAAACATGGGAAGTGAGCGGGGGGGAAGACGAAAACCCCAAACACGTGGGAAGATAGGGGGGGATATGTTTATTCGCGTGTATTTATTTGTGTGTCCTGGGGCCCCTTTCACGAACTCGTGCCCTCCCTCTCAGGGTCACCCCCCCTTTTGGCGGAGCTCGAGCGGACCATCGAGAAGCCTCTCGGCTAATCTTGCGAGCAGTGCGCGCACGGGGTCGAAGCATGCACGGGGGAATGGGTCGGCGGCGAGCGAGGGGGCGAGGTGAGAGGGAGAAGGCCTTCTCCTCCTCCTCCTCCTCCTCTTGCTGCTCCTCCTCCTCCTCCTGCTGCTCCTCCTCCTCCTCCTCCCTCCTCCTCCTCCTCCTCCTCCCCTCCTCCTCCTCCTCCTCCTCCTCCTCCTCCTCCTCCTCCTCCTCCCCCTCCTCCTCCTCCTCCTCCTTCTCCTCCTCCTCCTCCTCCTCCTCGGTTCGGAAGTCCCCTAGCCTTCTGAGAAGTTTTCGAAGCCTTCCCCGAAGACAGACAACAACTTCGCAGAAGGCGCGAGGGGGTTCTGAGGAGTCCCGCCGCCTTCTGAGACGGCCGTCTCCTTCTCATTTCCCCCCCCTCGCTCGCCGCCGATAGGGGCATGTGCGCGAGAGTAGGTTCAAGTCGGACATGTCCCTCCACAGGAGGAGTATTCAAGAATAGTGCAACATATTGTCTGGTGACGATTTCTCTTGCTCCTTGGACTATGTTTGAATTTGGTGAGTCTATTTACACTTTTTCTTACACAGTCCGCCTGTAGGAGGAATGCCCAACCTAAGAGTAGGTGCGCGGGAAGATGCAGGTACACGTATCACCCCGCAGTTGCGAATAAGAGTGAGGGGGCGGGCCCCTGGGGTGGGTTGCGGTTGGTTCGCAAGGGGGGGGTGCGTGGGGTGGGTCGTGGGGTGAGTCGTTGGTGGGTGATTCACGGGTGGGTGGGCCGCGGGGGGGTCGCAGACAGCACCAACAGTACCAACATCAGTCATGTTAATATTGTTCGTTCTTCTTTGCTCGCGTGCCATTCAACACGTCTATACCAAAGCCTCGATACCCGCCCTCTTCGTCTCTGGTTGTGCCCCCTGTAAGGGTCTGCCTTTATCACTTGCAACGTGTATTTCGTGCAGCCCCTGGGGCAGGGCAAGGGGACAAGGGGCAGGCGGGTTGCTGAAGCGTGTGTCCTGCACGACTTGCGAGGAGGTGTCGAGCGATGGCGCGATTCCCGCAGAGATCGCATGGAACTCCACAGCGAGATCGTGTTTCCGGACTGCCGAGGGCGCGGCGTCTGAACCAGTTGTAGGAGAGTCCCTCGCGAGAGCGCGACTCCTATAGAATTTGTGAGGCAGTCCCGCACGAGATCGCGACTTGGGAATCAGTTGCGAGGAAGTTTCAGGCGGGAGCCGTTGAACATTATTTATTCTAAAGAATAATTATTGTTGGGCCCCCTGGTGCGCGCCCCCCCTGCGCCGCCTAGGCCGCAGCTACATTTTCATCATTTTCGTGAGGAAGCCTCAGAAAAGAGGGTGTGTACAGGATCCGGTTGTTTTGTTGTAATCCGCTTTCCCTTGCAAAAAACAATAGAAAATGACATTTCTTGTTCTAATATAATCAAATTTCAAGAATCCCTTGAAATAAAGGTAAAGTGGACATTCGCGCGCGCAAGACGAAATCCTTCCAAAACCTTAGTGTTCGCAGCGATTTTAACATAAAAACATCAAAAAACCAATGGTTTTTCAACAAAAAATTGTCAAAATCTCATCCCGCGCGCTCTTGCGGATTCGTAGGAAACCCAACACTTTTTAAACATTTCTGTCAAACGGGCTTTTGCGAGCAACTTTTTCGAACTTCTGCGACAACGGTTGCGCACCTGCCAGGGCCATCATCCCTGTCAAATAATACCATGCGGGACACATTCGGGTATTGGCGCCCCTCGCACGCACGGGCGATGTATCCGTGAGGAGGCGTATCGGCACCATGCTTGGACACTTGGCCCCTGATGTATTTCTGCCAGGAGCCCAGCTGGCAGCATTGCGCCCCATCCGTGCCATCAGGGACGGGCGTATGCCAGAAGATGACGAGCACACGAACTCGTCTCTTTAGAGCCGCGGCGGGGAAAAGACGGTGGGTGGGCGTGCAAGCGCCGTTCCCGCCCCTCCTCTCTCTTCTCTCCTTTCCTCCTTGTCCTGCTCCTCCTCCTCCTCCTCCTCCGGCGGGGGGCGTGAGGATCCGGCATCGCTCACAACCATCGGG